ACTCAGTCAAAGACAGTTGCTATGAGATTTCATTTTCTAGTGACCATAAAAATAGCCAGGTTGGCTTAGTTGTGGATACTAAAATTTTAAAAAGAGCAGTAATCTCAAGCAAGCTAAAAATAATCAATACCTGATCTCTCCTCACTTCGTCATTTAATCTACCTTACCATATTAAAATCGAGAGATCGGTGATAAATGGTTTTGAAGCAGATGGCACTAATTCATTTACAGGACATATGTACATGGATCAACTAACAAAAATAATAGAAAAAGCGAAAAAACTCGCCTTAAACTCTTTTCCATTACTTAGATGAAAGACGTGATCGCCCAACTTGGTAATATCAATAGGCAATGGTACAGCAATAGTCCGATACTGAGTTATGGTTTTCGTCACCTCGTAGATAGTGTCTGTGACTTTCTCTGGTGCAGGTCCACCATTTTCCACATTGTATTTAATTCCGAAGTCAGCATCCAAACCTCCTGGATTATGACTCGCTGTGAGCAGGATTCCGCCCTGAGCTTGGTGATGACGAATCAAACAAGAGGCAGCAGGAGTAGAAAGAATGCCGTGTTGTCCAGCCAGCACCTCAGTGACCTAAGAAAAAAATAGAATTAGATTTTAAAGCAAGGATATGACAAAGTCAAGCTGACCTTAAATTATTAAGAACTATCCATCAGAATAGGTTTTATTAAAGAGAATTTTGGAATAAACATTTAGAACTATCTGCCTAAGAGGTAATGACGAACGGAAAATCGTGGCGAATACACAAATTATAATTTATTATAGAGGTTGTTTGCCCTTGTTTTCGCAACTTGGTCATATTGGTAGGAACGCACCTAGTCCGAAGTCCAGTGTATGCATGATAATTTCCAGAGTAGGACTGTGGACGTGGCATCTCTCCTTCTGTTTTAGGCTATTGACATATCCTATATCCTCATACCATCCCTTCTATATCATAATTTCTTACTTGTTTATCTAGGCCTATTTGAAATCTACTCACACTTCCAGCTGGTTTCCTCATCCCTTTCACTGTGCTGCAAGTGTTGATCCAAGGCTGCGGTTTAATTTTCAATCCTCTATTTTTGAGTTTTACTAGAATCCCCTCCTGCTCCCTAGGATCCTTCCTTTACCTGCCTGTTTCAGTGATTTCACTCTACCGATGCCACCGTATCCGTGCTAGTCAAGGAGTTGTTCTACATTCAGCCTCGAGCCTTTGGTGGCAGGTATACACCATCCTTACTAAACAGGCCCATAGTCTGGATTCCCATTTGGCATAGCAACCTAAATTG